TTTCATTATATGAAATTAATATTAATTCTTAATTATCTATAAAATTTCAGTTCTTACTTTATAAAAGACTTTACTGATGTTCTTTGTTATTATTAATCTTTGATATTATGTTATATTTTGATTATCAGTACTTGATTTTATTTTTAATTTTTTTAAAACATATTATTCAAAAATAAAAATAAAACCATCTATAAATTGATTAATTTTTAAATATATATACATATTTTTTTTCTTCAATTTATACTATTTAAATGCTTCTTTTCTTTCAAAAAAATAAAAATAAATTTTATACTTAAAAAAAATTAACAGTGTCTTATATTGCTTCTATTTAGTAAAAGATATTATATCATTAGAACCTAAAATAGATGAGGTTCTTTAATAAAGTTTGTAATTTTAGATTTTAAAAAGATCATCTTTTTAATTTCAAAGAATTTATCTCAATTAAACATCAATTATATCTATTTATTTTTTAATTAATAATTTTAATTAATTTAAGTTTTACATATATAATTTTAGATTTAAATATAATAATATAATATCATCTATTTTTAATAATTTTATAAATTAACTATAATTATTTGTATATTTTTCTTTCTATCTATTTCTTTATTTATTTATTTATTTTTCTACATCATTATTATTTTTTTATTAGAAATTAATCTATTCAAATTATATAAAAATAATATTTAATTTTTTTCTCTATAGATTGTTTTTTATTTAAACCATCACATCCTAGTTTCAAGGACAAGAATTCAAAGAATTCAAATAAATAAAAAAAACATATATCAAAGAAAGATGATAAAATATATGTATTCAATAAAAAATTGGAATGGATATTGTCAAACATTACTTGAAACTAGACTAGAAGCAAGAAAAGAATTAATAAGAGTGAAGAAGACATCATTCTTGCATCTATATATATTATCTAATTAGAAGTTATATGGTGACGTTCTCTAAGACCTCCAATATGTGTCTAACTTGCAAAGCAAATTTCTTGCTAGTGCACTACATGATCAACTTGTATTATAAGTGGCCAACATGTATAACATGTGGCTAACTTGTTTGCAAAATGTTTAACTTACCTCTCACTTATAAACAAATGTAAAGTCAAATTCGTGTCTATAAAGCTTCTTCACAAGGTATTATATAATTTATCTAATTTTATATATTTCTATTTATCTCCTCTTATTTAGGTAATTACTAGTATTGAATATATTAGTGACATTTAGTCATACTAATAAAATAATATTTCAAATAATTGATGTAAATTCTTAAATATTATTACAATAATAAAATCAACAAGTTCTATAGCTTATTTTGTTAAAAGTTTAAAAAAGATGTTAAGTATTGATTGGGTACATTAATCTATAATGTTTCTATAAAAAAATTAGCAAATAAATTCAAGACATTAGCTTCTTTGTACTAATTGGCATTTGCTATCAACTTCAAAAAAAAAAAGATAACATCTAGTTGTTTGAAGTTGTTAGTAAAAAAACAAATTTTCTAATGAAATGTTATTTCTTTTTATAAGTTTTTATTTCAACAAGATAGATAAGATATAGTATTCTATAATTTAGTTTTAATTTTAATTTTAATTTTTTTTATTGATTAGAAGTACTGGTAAAATTTAATTATAAAATAATTTAGTTATTATGTAGAATTTTTATTCATTTTTCAATATAATAAATTTATATTTAAAATTAAAATTAAAATATAGAAATCTATAATAACTTTTGATTTTTTTGAATTATTAAAAATAATTATGTAAAATATTAAATTTAGAATCTCATATTATAAAATTGTAGTTTGTCTTTTTAATACGTTAAATGTTTTTAAAATCTTATTCAAGTTCTATTATGTACTAGTAGTATAGAAAAAGTTCATAAGCAAATATTCAAATGTTATCATTATTTAGAATTTCTAATCATTTTGGAATCCATAGATTATTACAATAATTATATCTATCATTTTGATTAAGTTATATTTCTTAGAATGTTGACATTAGTTATATATTTTTTAAATAAAATAAAAATTTAAAATTTAAAATAATTTGTAACTTTTAATAATGTTATAAGTATATTTGTTAAATTTATATCTACTCTTTGTGTAAATCCTCTCAAATATTGAATACAAAGTAAGCTTTTAAAAATACTTGTTATTAATTTATTTGCATGTGAGTTTAATTTTTTTTCTTCTTTTAAACCATTTTATTTATTTTAAAGTAATTTTTAATTTTCAAAGTATATAATAATATTAATTTTAGTAAAAATAAAATGTAAAAGACTATTTATAATTTTAAAAAATTAAATAAATATATATTAATAAAAGAATACATATCCTACAATAAATAATAAAATTAGTTTAATTTTTTGAATTATTAAAGGTTCATAGTATGCAAATCTCAACCACTGCTGTTAATAAATTCATTCAATCAAATTTTCTCATTTAAGTCTTTTTGAGAATTATTTCTTTTTTCAATTAAATCGTTGTTTTATTAGTCACTTTCAATTAAGATTCAAATTGTTTATTGTATGGACCAAATATTCCGTTGTAAATATTAAGTAATCCAACAAAACATTTTTCTGCATCCTTGAATTTTCTTATATATAAATCTTTTACTACCTATATTAAATATGACTAATATGATTATCTTTATTATTGCAAGTCTGTGTAATAAAATTCTGATTAAGTCAAATAAGAGTTATCTCAATTTCACGTGCATTTAGAAAAAAGAAATGCTACAAATGGTTGTTCTTTTGTTGTCATTTTTCCTTGAAAGATAGCTTTACTGGTTAAGATAGAGCAATCTTTTATATGTTTTTAATTTTAAAAATGGTGATAGAGTTTTAAAAAAAATTATTCATAAAAATTAAATCAATCTATAGAATTTAAGTAAGTAAAATAAATAAATAAATAAAATAATGTATATATATATATATATATATATATAAATTAAGATTTTAATTCAATTAAGAAGCTTTAAAGCTTTAAAATTAAAAATTAAAAAACAAATCAAGTAATGGTTATGAGATATTAATCATCTAAAGTAATACTAATATGAATGTAGATAGACACCTCAAAAGAAAACATATTTATGCACAATTGAAAAGAATAAAATAATAAAAAAATATTTATAAAGTAAGATCATATAATAATATCTATTTCTAAATACAAAAAAATCAAAAATCTTAAAATAATACTAGAATATAAGATTTTTTTGACAAGATTGAAAATAGCCTTACTTTTGGTTTTATATATATTAACTAATAAGAAGGTTATATATAAATATTTCAAAAACTATAAAAGTTGTAGAGAAAGCATCTAAGTCATAAGAAGTTTGTAAAGGTAGGAAATTCTAAAAGAAGTTTGATAAATATGTTACAAGTGTAGAAGAATTTATAGATTTTTAATACTTTTTCAAGAAAGTTGTTACCTACCAAATATGTTTATAACCAATTTTATTTACTTGTACTTTTTTTTATTTATTTATAAAGTGTTTATATTTAATAAATTAATTTTCTTTTAAAATAAAAATTTGATGAAGAATAGTAAAGTTGTTTTAGAAGTTGATAGAGTTCAAAATTTGTCAAATACTATTTGTTAAAATTTTAATGTATACTTTGCATGAAGGGTGTTAATAAGTCCTTCCAACCATTATTATATTCTATAACCTTTCAAGTACACCATCAAGTCATTTGAATATTATTCATGCCTTCATAACTATTTTAGAATGTTATGTTTGGAATGCCATCAAGTATAGTATCTATTTCTAAGAGGACTCTAAAGCACTACAATTTTTTTTAATATTATGGTACCACATGTATTATTTTTGCCATATATTTTTAAAAAAGGAAATATGTTTCTTCAAACATTTGAAAATTATTTAGAAATTACTTTTTATTTCTTTTTTAAAAATTATATAAAACTGTCCTTTCAACTTAAAACTTGATGCCTATAAAATATTGGTAATGTAAAAATAATGTAAATAGAAAAATCATTTCCAATATTTAGGACTTTGAAATGAATCATCCTTGTGTATGAGACTCTTTAATCAAAACTAAATATATTTCATCCTAAGAAATAATCCATATTACATCCAAAATCATTTTTAAATTTATGTCCTAGAGGTCCAAAATGACCTTTCAATAACTAATAGATAAGAAAAGCGCATACAAGAGTGCAAAATAGCACCTATAAAGTTGGCAGTACAAACTTCAACGATGAAATCTCAATAATGCCTTGTACATGGTTGACTCTTGTTGTGTTACAAGTAAACTCAAGTTCTCAAGCTTCAAACTAATCAACTCCAATTTCAATTGTGTTGCTTCATGTCCCTCATTCAGGAAGTTGTTTACTTGTGACACCAAAAACTCCAGTCTCCAAACCCTAAACCCCATCAAGTCTGGGTGTTTTCGCTGTCGTCGTCAGCTGTCGAACCTGGACTGCACCTTGAAACAAAAAGGAATGCATCCCCGAACCAGATGACGTAGAATTTTTGTTGAAGGAATATCGATCCAGAAGAAACCTTTATTTGCCACACGAAGGACCTCATTCCTCTTTACCAAAAAACACAAATCAGGTCTGGAAACAAGAGCCTGATGAATAAATGGGAGCCGTCATTGCAGTGGCGAAGTTGCATGCAAATGAAGTAACTCTCATCTCGTGATCTACGGAACGGACCTGTCGAAGCTTCCTTGATAGCGCATTCACTTGAATCAAGGTTTGATATCAATGCTGTCATAGAGTTTGACTAGTACTAGAAACATAGCTCTAGAACTACTGGTGAATTAGAAATGACGGACCTTGGTGACTAGTTACACACCAAGCCTGCGGCGCAGTACCACGTTCAGCAGAGACTGGAGCACTGGGAGTTGGCGCTCTCAGTGGGTGCTGGTCAGTCCAGCTGGATGGGTGGGTGCCTGCTGGGGCACAGAAAGTAGTTGCAAATGCAGCACGGAGAAATGGGCACACTGTCTATTTGACTTGTGTGAACCACTTTGACAGGCCACCTTTTCTTCGCCAACTGAACTTCATACCAACTTTTTTGCGGTGCTGAGCGACTCGTAGTTAATGCTGCATAACAAAAAATCTGCTGACAACCTCCTGGTCATTGGATGTGCCTTTGCCTTATATACCCCGTCCCGCAGTTTCCTACGACACATTCGGCCGATTCTGAGTATTCTCTGAAGCATTTCTTGGTGGATCAACTCATCTTCGTGCATCTTCTCGAGAGGGAGAAATGGAGTGCTCCAAGCATTTTAAGCTGGTGGTGGTGGGAGTGTGCGCCCTGCTGGTGCTATCTATGGCGGGCGATGTCAATGCTGCGTGCAGCCTGTCGCAGGTGCGAACTTGCACATCGGCGGTGATAGCACCGAACCAAATGCCATCGCAGCAGTGCTGCTCTGAACTGTCGGCCATCACCGACTTCAACTGTTTCTGCTCCATGCTGCTCAACCAGGGGACCAACTTGAATCAGGACTATATCAACAATGCCTTGCTAATACCATCGAAATGCGGGGAGCAAGGAAGGAACCTCAGGGGCCAGCGATGCGGAAGTAAGCTCTACTACATTGCCCAGCAATTCTAATACTTACTGTCCTCTCACCTCCACCACACGTATGTTGCTGCAAGCTCACCCCGCACGGTGGCTTGCACTGTTAAACCGTAATTAGGTATTTCAGTGAGAGAAGCATTGGTCTCAGGGATACAACTGCGGATCATGTGATGGGCAGTCTCTTGGCCTCGTCTGTTTGCCTTCCAGTGGAACCCTATGCAGGAACTTGCTGACGATGTGCTTCTAACCATGCGATATGTGCTGTGCCTGTGCAGACTACGCGATTCCTTGAGGGAACTTTTGCTAGACCTGTTGCCGATGTCGAGCAGCACACCGACATGTTGATGCTCATGGGTTGAAGTGCATGTCTTGTCTAGCTGGCTAGCTTTCAATTGAGTCCCATGAGCTCGTGCCTGATGTCGAGTGCATGATTGTTCCACATTGAGACATCAATACAGAATGAAACTAAGTTTCTGTCCCTGTTTGTTACATCGATGACCTTGCATTCCTGTACTTTGTTGCGGCTAGCTTGAGTCCTCTCTCGAAGTATGTCGATTGCATACCTACTTTATTGAATTACTCCATTTCCTCTCGCCCTCCCACAAATGCCTGGAAACGGTGCATTGTTGCTGACTTGTTGTTGCACGAAAGCACAGTGTTGTCAGACAGGGAAACGTAGGCTGTACCTCCATCAAATCTTCAGTGTGACGGTTGTAAAGAAAGGAATTGTTGTGAGAAACAGCGAGAATGTGGTGTAAAGGAATATTAACCCTATCGTGTTGGGCTAATGTGTACTTATGTTTTCTTAGCTAGAGTGACAATTGGGTATCACTGATGTTGTTTTCAATGTGGTTTATAAGTAATAGTTGATTCCATGCTGTTCGTTCCATAGGAGATGTATTGTGAATCAAAAGATTTATTTTTCAAGATAAAAGTGACGTGTTCATAGTTTGCAAACTGGCTATGGGTCGTTATTCTGAAATGGTGTTCTAGATGTACAAATATCTTGTTTACTCATCGTTTTTCACTAAATAAACAAATGAAGTTTTCATTCGACCAAGTCAGTTTCCGACTAATTGATATGATTTCAATTTAAATGAGTTTAATTGAAATTGCTATGTTATCAAATATCATCCAGTCATGATTGTAGTAATTATTAGGGTGTAGTGAAAGCATTCTAATGAAACCTGAATAGAAAATTCTTACACATCAACCTGATTGTATTACGTCTTTGATACATCACACCTTATTTACTGTTTGATACCCATCTTAATAAAGTAAAAAGCAAACCTTTTATACATCGAATATAAAAACTTGATGTAAAATGAATGGACCTTTTCATCATTTGAAACAGTACCCCAACGCTTCCCCATCATTCATATGATATCGTTCACATTTTCTTACCTCCATATAATGATTTAAAAGCAATACGATTAACATATTTCCCAATCACCTACTAATATTATACTTGAAAATCTGAATTGTAGTACAGTTAATAAACTACAGAGAATTGAAATCTATTGTGAAAATGATCATTTGATTTTTCAGAGCGAAACTGCGGCTTAAGTAAACATATTTTTCTTTAAGTTGTACTCTTGATAGAACTAGCTACATTCAATTTGACCATAGAAATGTTAAATTTATTACTTCCGATTTTAAAATGTAATGTAAACCTATAATGAATAACTAATACGACCATTAAAAAATCACTCTTGGAAGTATACAATATTTTAAAAATCAATAATGCATTTAGAAAATATTTGAAATAAATAATGAAAATATACAATATTAATAGCCACCTATATTTAGGATTCTGATAATTTATGACAGATTCTTACATAATTTCTCGTCATAAAAAATACAAATTTGCAACAGTTCAAACAATATCCTATCAACTTAGAAGGAATAAAGAGAAAGAACGAAAGAAAAAAAGAAAAAAAGAAAAACACAAACACAAACATACATGCACAAAGATCTATTAAAGCACCACCTTCACAATTGTAGTTCAAACATGGGTATTTCTTCTACCAGATCTTTTGTTTTTATTTTGTCTATTTAGAGTGCAACCACTTGAATCTCATGGTTTTGGTATGATTAGTCTTTAAAAATTAAATTTTAAAATATATACATATATATATATATATATATATATATACAGTTACAGTTTTTTTTTCTCAGTTTGTCATCATAAATTATCACCAGATATTGTAATATTACAGTTATTGCTTAGATTTTGTTAATTCTCTCTCTCTCTCTCTCTCTCTCTCTCTCTTTCTATATATATATATATATATACATATAGAGATGTACCCATGCACACATTCATTCATTGTTTAAATATGTTGTTAGTAATATCTTTTTGGAAACTTGCTTTTATGAATATGGTTTAGATTTCACTTTTTAATAACTTTATTGAATTTTTTTAACAAATTTCCTACTACATGGATGATGATTTTATACTTTCAACATTTTATAGTGGTGTTTTTTTTATTATTATTATTTTTTATAAATAAGAATTTGTGATTCTTGAAGATATTTTTTCCACCTTTCTATTTACATGGCTATCCACTTTTACCACAGACAGTAAAACATTTAAAATTACTGTATTGCAAACACCAACTCTTTCAATAGTTCTTAAATGTTTAATTCAGTGTCTATTTATTTACTTTTTGATCAAATTGTAAACATCATTCATAAGTATGTTTAATAAAATAAAATAAATGATTTAAATTATTCATTAATTATTTTGAAGGTTTAAATCAATAAATTTATTGATTTTATTCATTAATATATAGAGGATCAAAGATCAATGTTGTAATTTTACAATAATACAATTTGAAATAAAAAATAAAAAATCGGGTTTTCCGAATATTAAAAAAAAATACTTGCACATTTAAAAACAACACTAAAGGTTAGAATATGTATACAATAAATAAAAATAAAAATGAAAAAAACTACAAAATGATAGACTAAGACAACTCATATATATATATATATATATATATATATTTATACATACTCACACACATACAAACACACATAAAAATGCAGGTTCGGAAAGATTTTAATATACATTTTATTAATTATATACTGTAATAGTCTCATAATTTAAAAATACGAAACAAAACTTTCCACTTACAAGATATTCAAAAGTTTTTTGTAGCACTTTAAAATTCCACCTAAAGCAAAAGCATCCAAAAGAAAGACAATATTATTGACGGATGTGGAATGGATGGATGAATATGGGCGTGGATCCGAGGCTGGACACCGAACGTCAGGTCCGGACCCAAACCGAAATTAGGGTTAGAGGGTTATAGTGGGATTGTTGATACTGAGGAGCTCTTTCTGAAGTTGGTGTGCGGGTGGCGAGCTCGATCGTTCGCCATGTCGAAGCGCGGTGCGCATCCTCGCTCTCGCTCTCTCTCTCTCTCTCTCTCTCTCGTTTCCGTCGTTTTGTTCTTCTGTTTTTGTTTGTTTGAGCTTCTATCCTTGCTGAAAATATATATATATATATATATATATATATATATATATATATATATATATATATATATAATGATTTAGGTATTAAGTGGCTTTAGGGTTTCTGAAGTGCACGTCTTTGGTGGGTAACTGTTTTTCGGATGCGATCCTGGATTCATAACCTGAAGTGTCGTCTCTAGGTTCTATTTTATTTGGCAACGATGAAGCTTGCAGATGAGTGTTGATAGCGTGCTTCCACAATTCTTGTCACTTAGTATGTAATTAAACGAGCTGTGAGTGTCGTTTATTGTGATTGTGTTTCCGGTATTATTGAATAATGCAGATTTGTGGTGTGAGATTTAAGTTGTAACGGTTGTTCGTTTCAGGTAGAGGTGGTTCCTCCGGGAACAAGTTTCGCATGTCACTCGGTCTGCCCGTGGGCGCCGTGGTGAATTGTGCCGACAATACTGGAGCCAAGAATCTGTATGTTATCTCCGTGAAAGGAGTCAAGGGGCGTCTGAATAGATTGCCTGCTGCTGCTGTTGGCGACATGGTTATGGCCACTGTCAAGAAGGGGAAGCCCGATTTGCGTAAGAAGGTCATGCCTGCTGTCATTGTGCGACAGCGCAAGCCGTGGAGGCGTAAAGATGGTGTCTTTATGTACTTCGAAGGTATATATATTTCTCTTCCTGACGAGTCTCGGAGATTACGAGATAGTTTGCTCTTGGGTTTTTGTGCCTGACCTTTATAAATTCTTACGTGTTCGCATGAGGAACGTTTTTGCAAGATCCTTGAATCTTCTTGTATACGTTTAGTTGATTGGACATTATTCTAAGTTGAAGTAGTGTATAAGCCTGGAGATTCAATCCTTATAGTTTTCGAGCAATAGTTAATGATGACCTGTTTGGATCTTATGCTTTGGCCGCAGACAATGCTGGTGTTATTGTAAACCCCAAGGGAGAAATGAAAGGTACGCAGATATTTCCCTCAAATATCTTTGACGTCAGATTCGTTTTAGCAAAAGATCCAGTTAGCGAATGAGAATGATTGGCAGATATATGTCATCGTATGTTGTTCTTATCGGAATGTTGTGCACGTTATGACTTTTGGGATGAGCCTACTGATTTACTGATAGGTTTTTTGGCAACTTTTGCAGGTTCTGCTATCACTGGTCCTATTGGGAAGGAGTGCGCCGATTTGTGGCCTAGGATTGCTAGTGCTGCCAATGCCATTGTCTGAGGGCAATAGTTGTAATATTTTTGCCCCAGTAAAGATGATGAATTGCTTCTTACCAGCTACATTAGCGTGTTTCGTACCTTGCTGCATTTCACATTGGATATTTTCCGTATGCTCCAACTCGCTGTATGCTGAGCTGGGCTTTTGATACCTCTGTGTTATTTGTGATTCCATACTCGCCTCTGGATATACGCTACCCTCACGATTGAGATGATCACTTGCCTGTTCAATGTTCTCGTTGTGGCTCTCTCATACTGTGTCCTCACAGATCTTAAAAATAAGATATGATGACTCTATTGTAGAGGAAAATGAGGGTTAGACACTGAAACGGTTTATTGAATTGAGCATCAATTACCCCCGATCAGGTATTGCTACACTAGGTGTGCTTATTACTGAAATTTATTCCCGATTGAGAAGCTGGGGTTTTACCTGGCACGTTCATCCGTCGTAACTTCCCGAACATAGTTCCACAGAATACTGTTAGCAATGTATATGGTCAAGCCTACAATGTATAAATGATGTGGCCATACACATTGATATATGATGGGTGTGAATGATGATTTCTCTGGAAGCACACAAACTTGCATGCTTGACGAGTAAACCATGGATCCTGCCTGTTACATGGGGGTCGATATAACATGAAGTTAGCAACCACACTGCTACAAAGCTTTGTTGAACGTTCTGGTTGTAACTTGCGGTAAGCCTAGTGCTTGGTGTGGGTGTGCGTGAGCATCAAGTTGTGGTTGGGCAAGAAATTTTAACATATGTTGCATCAAACAATACTTTTATGAAGGAAATCTGCCAAAATTGGGTCTTTGTTTTCGGATTGCCGAATTATCGAAGAAGTTGGAAATGTCCTGTTCAGGATTTTCATTCCAATTTGCTTGCATGCAATTACGCAGGTTCCCTTTAATACCTATTCTCGTAACATAGGTTTAGGGCTTTATAATGTGTGAAAGCAGGCTTCTATTCGATTCTGGTGTTCCACTTGCTTTGGATCGAGGGTTTAAATTACGGTTATTAATAGAATAGGATTTACAGAAAGATCTGTGTGGTGCATGCTGAATGGGTATTAAGGAATGACGAAGATTAGCGTCACATGCAGCTTCATGCGTTCTGTACCAGAAATTTGCTTTAAGTTGGTAAAGCTGAATATTATGGTATTGCCGATCAGGGTGGCTGTGGAGATCTTTAAAGTTGGGAGCTCTTGCTCGTCAGAGCATGACATTTTCTGTAACCGAGTGGGCACAGGAGGTGTGATGCAACTATCCCCCCTGCATCTCTTTGTTACACCCAAAGATTTTTATCTATTTTTCCATACGCTGCACTTAAGATGAGGGTTTGCACAAGCTTACTGTGGCTGACTTTTGTGGAACACCAAAATTGATTGGCGTTTTTCTCAGGTGCTTGTACTAATCAGTTTTTGAGTATACCTCACTTGAATGTTTACAGACATTCTGTATATTGGATTATGGTCAGGAGAAATATTTACTTGGATTTGATGTCGGTAACTGGCCAGTTTGCATTGGTAGGATCAGGTTGTCAACCTCCTCAATTGTATTTTGTTTCTCAGTCTTGAGCTCCTTCATAAGACTCAGGGTTCTTATAATACTTTCTTCTACCGGGAATTATCTCATATCTTAACGTAATGGTCCGGTTTTCACTGTGGCTCTGAAGGAATGGAACATGAGAGCCCTACAAAGCATTTGGGTACATTTGTAGAATAGAATTCTCATTTCAAAAGTGCTGACCAATGTTGGGCTGTAATGAAAGTTGGTCCATCTTCGTGATTAGTACAGGTTGAGGTGGAGCAGTTAATTTACATGCTTATCAGTGGCGAATGCAAGAATCTCCGCTATGTTCCGTTCATATCCTTGCGAAAGGTACCTGTTCTTTTAGCATCTACGTGTAGACGTCGAGAAATACCAGGAAACCATAGACGAATGAGCATCAATTGTTGCATACCGCTGCACCCTGGAGTATGTTAAGTGATGGTATCTTGCATCATTTGTGAGTTTATATTGCAGTACTACACTGGCTATTTCACGTGTGCGACAAGAACGGAGTAATTCATGCCTTCTCGCTGAGTTTTCAGACATGAGAGGCCTGAACCGATTTGAGATTTCTGTAGCTGTCTAGCATGTCATGTAAGTCCCTGTCCATCAGGACCTGTGAGGATATATCTTATCCTGGGAGCATCGACAGCAGTTTTGGGTAAGACTCTGATTGTTGGCTTACTGTAAATACCAATTCTACCATTGATGGATAAAAACAGCAGTGATAGTGGCTCATTCTTGGACCGCTTTTATGATAGCCATGACAGTGGCCTACTTGGGCTGCACTCTTCTGACTCAACATCCCACTTTGACAACGATAGAGACGACTTCGTTGAGGGTAGGTTTACAAGTCCTCAGTGACAATATCACATTGGGATCCAGACCTGAACAGTAACAACGGCTTGATTAAGGGTGAGCTTGAGCTAAAGTCTTGCTGATGACCCAGTGATGGATTCAAAACGACTGCCTTGGATTATCACAAACAATCCCTTGTCTCATTTCTCTTTTGCAGCGCTGCAATGCTTCCCAGAGACAACTCTGATGCAAACAAGGGAAACATCCGCAACCACTCTGTTGCTATAAATCTCTGTTCTGTTTTTTCTGCGATGCTCCACATTCTGGTATCTGTTACAGCATCGACAACCACAGAGTCACGGCCTTCCCTGTCGACGACACATGAACAGACTGACCCATCGGTTTGAAGCGAGCCAATCACCAACCTATAAGGTGGACCTTCCTGCAGAGGTCAAAAAGTGTGCCAACAGTCATGGACGTGGTGCCTGCAGAAGGAGTTCGACGTAACCAACACCTTCAGCAAGTGGATGTTCTTACTCTGTACACCAATGCAATGTTAACACAAAGAAAAGAAAAGAAAAGAAAAACAAAACAAAACAAAACAAAAAATAATGGTAGATTCAAATCCTGCCTCACAGTAAAGTTCAAGGTGCAATACAAATGAAGCCGGATATGTATGAGATGCAAAATCACACTGGCAGAGAGGTACCAACTGCCTCCAAAGTAATCCTGTCTTATCAAGTTGGGGGGGTCCTACCACATGATTTTTAATCCCCGGAGAGGTGAATTCATCACATGCCAGATCCTGCAGTGCACTCACTCGTGGGGCTGAGTACTTGGGTGATGGTCTCGGTGACACCACTTCCATGACCCTGCTGCAGGATTGCATGTGCTGTTTGCTTGCATGTGGGGTACTAACTTAGTGGTGCAAACTTGTACAGCTGAGAAGGGAAACAATGTTGCAGTGTTTTCAGGCTTGACTTGGTCATCCAATGGAACCATTGAGGTGGTCGAGACCCAATCAAGGGAAACCATGGCTGATAGAGATTGACATGAATTGAGTCTCCAATGAATAGCCTTTGTTGTGAGAAATACTGCTGTAAGGCTCTTTAGAACATTTGGCAACATGCTATGAAAGTAGGGATGAGAGCCCATTCTTTTTTATAATGTTTTGTGTGACACTTGGTATGTTTTGGTTTTTTCATCTATGTGCATTGAAGAATTTTGTGGGTACACTTTGTTGCTTGAAAGGGTATAATACATGTTTTAGAGGTCTGTGTTGAATCTTTCGGAGCTATGGAATGTTTTTTTTTTTTATTTTTTTTTATTTTATTTTAATTATTGTAATTGAGAGGCTTGTCGACAGTTCGTAGATGCTTTACATTGCTTCACTTGATTTGTTTCAATGTGCTTCAAGGAACTTATGTCCCTTCAAATATTTGTCACCATCATAGTATGTTTATATATATATATATATATATATATTTTAAGGTAATATTTAGCAACTTGTAGTTTCACAATAGTGCAGACTATTCTAATTTATCAGTAGATCATAGATGCTCTACTAGTCTTAGACTTTACTCCAGTAGTCATGTTTCATCAATATGTAGGAAGCATTTTTAAAGCAGAGTTACAGCAAGAGTCATTAAAAATATGGACCTGCTTCTAATTTATACTCCCCTGGAAATTCACTTGTGAAAATTTTATTTATTAAAGTTTATTTGATGTTCACTGCAAAGAGCGTTGAAAGATATTGTGCATGACAAAGCAAGAAGTTAATATTCAGCACTCTAAAGCATTATGCTGAAACCCACTATGTCTAATTAATAGAACATAATTGTAAGATTTATGGAAAGTTGAAACATGAATTGCATAGTACTTGGGCCCACGCACAATGTGGAAGAGAATGGCTCCTTTTCCTGCTTAAAGCAACATTTTGAGAGCCTCACCGTGTATGATAAACCCCAACTTTCTGGTTCATTATCTTCTTCGTAGTGGGTGTTATACGTATGAAGGGAAGATACGAGTCTACATTGCCATGACTCACTACCGCTCAAATTTTCCAAAAGTGAGGGTTTAACATAGGTTTAATGAATGCCAAGATGTATTTGATAAACTTTAGCGGCAGTTGTATTTCAGGTGATGGTGCAGAGGTATGATTTGAGCATACCCACACTCGTGAGATTGCTGACAAGGAGTGGGCCTAAAACATAATGTGGTTGAACAACTCATCAGTCACTACAGTGACGAAAAACAGCCTATGACATGTAAACAACTGAGCTGGTTACAAATAAATTCAAGAGTATGATGATAGCGGTGTCTAATAATACAGGATAAAGACGCACGAAGCTACCCGAAAAACGTATCAGATGAAAAATGATTTTGATTATTTGAGTTTAATAGACTAAATGGAGGCGCCTCAATTCTACTTGAAAAGTGCCACTTGCATTCAAAGTGCGTTGGGCTAGATTTCGGATATCTTCTCTGGAGCACTCTCGGGAAATTCTTACGAGTTCCCACAAGGCCCCCCCTGCAACGAGGTCTTTGGCGTTCACCTCTGCAAATCCAATGACATTAGAAGTTAGTACATGCCCCTTTCCGAATAGCCAACGAAATATCGAACTAGGATAGACCAAGAATATTCAACTAACAATGAGTGCATGCAGATGACTTCCTGGTCTCGAATCAAATTTATCAGCACACAATTTGTATAGAAATCGATTTAGTTATTTAGAAATTTACAAGCTCATAACCCGATGATACATCAGAAGACACAGCATGAAGTGGGAGTAGATGGGTAGTATTGTTACATACCATGTTGGGCTAAGTGGCAAAGTGCCAGTTCGATGTGCCGACGGATAGGTGATGCTTCATTGTTCGCATTGGCAACAATCCATGGTAAGGCTCCATCATCGATGAGTAAAGACCTCCCCAATTTGTAACCTGCGTGTTTGACTAAGAGTCAATCTAGACTGTCTTAAGAACACAAAGGACAAGAGATCAATCAGCACCAGAACATCAAATAACAAAAGGCGGAATATGAGACCTTGAGCAGCACCGCGTGATTCACACTTGGCAAAGTTAGCAATTCCTCGCGCAACTTGGGCAAGCACGTCAGGATGACGTGATCGTACCATACCGAGAAGTGCACGAATTCCGCCTTCCTCCCTCAGTTTAACTTGTAGCTTATCTGAATGAATTCCGGGACCAATCACATAAGTCGTAGATATTTTATGCTTAAGAGAGGAGAATAAACACTACACAATGTTTGTGAACCGATGAGGGCAAACATGCACAAATGGAATGCAAAGGTCTAGTATTAGAAACTAACGCGAACTAGGTAGAATTTGCACAGTAAGGAAGAGAGGAGGAAGCACCATTGCCACATAAGTTTGCAATTGCACCAGCAACCATTCGCAATGTTTGTGGGTCTTCAGCATCATCGGCTGTTCGAGCTAAAAGACCTATTCCTCCTTGAGACATAATCAACTCCTGGTTTGTCTCTGTAGACAGCTCAGGTAAAAAGCTTAGGAATGGGAAAACCATCAAGTAGGATTGTAGTGAAAATTTTAACTAAAAGAGAATCACCAAGGTGTTGACATCACTGACCATTCATGGCAAGGTTGGCTACAGCACCAGCAGCTACACGCCTGATAGTCTCATCTTCTGAGCTTTGTAGGAGCATGAGTAAAGATCCCAAACCCCCAGCCTCTACGATTTTCTCTTGGTTTGCCTCTGAAATGAGAGAGTATAGTAAGAACCAAGAATTTCAAGAACAGCACATAGAAAACGTCGAAAAACCAGAATTGGTCCACCCTGCAAGTCATGTCTTCAAAAGTTGAACTGTGATGTACAAAATTTAGTGATCTATAGTGGCGAGGTGTCGGTTGGGAAACGACTTCAACAACTTTAACACCCTGACGCTGAAGGAGGAATGCCACGGTATTAATTCTTCAGTAAATCTGAAAAGAGTACCAAATCGCAACTGCTCCTCCACAGTTTTATGGCTTCTCCAAAATTGATAAAAGAAAAAAGAAAAATCTAAAACTTGGAGTCAATTATAAGAGGTGACTCACCTTCGGCAGCGAGGTTCGCCACCACCTTTACGGCATGGACGCGAACATCGACGTCCTCGGACTCTAGCAATGAAAGAATCTTGTGGAGACCAACTGCACACCAAAAACACAGGTAACATCTTAGAAGTGGGTCTTTTGACATTACCTAAAATCGTGATCACTACTAACAATTGAACAAAATTCAAGTTGGTGATCGGAAATAAATTTCTACTACTTGAATCGATGTAAAACTGTTAAAAAACATCAAAACACTCCATCAATATCATGTATTGCTATCAAATCCCCACACGACAGCTCGGGGAGTGATTCTTTGCGTCTGACCTGGGAAGTTTAGCCAGCCTTACCTTGTTCAAAAAGCTTAGCAATCGTTGCTCTCTGGCCATTGATGGTGTCACGCATATGGTTCGGCTTACTAATGCTGATAAGCGGGCTTTCTGAACCCAGTGAGCTTCGGCCTGAACCACCGTTCGCCATAATTCTCCTCGAATGCTATAACATCAAACCACATCATAAGAGTAATCAGGTAGAAGATTCACCAGAAATCACATGAAACCAAAAGAAAACCCACGCCAAATGCTTTGCAGTCGAGGCAAATCACAAAAATACAACGATCATGCAGTGGGCTTGGTCTAGTGTAAGGGTGTTTAAAAGGTAAACAATTCGTCGATAAACTACCTCTTCGTGCTCTTCAGAAAGAACCGAAATTTGCTCCTTCAGGTGGCGAATTTCCTCTTCGAGCCTCTCCCTCTCCCTTAACTCCTCATCCAGTCTATGCCTCACCGTCAGAAGTTCATCGCCTTGCTGCCTGGTCAGACTACCATTTACACTTCTTTTTGACATCTGAGTTTTCGCTACCCTTAGCTCCTGCTCCAGCTGCTCGCGCTTCTGACGTTCACCTTCCAGCAAAGTCCGAAGCTCCGCGACCTCAATAGTTTGCTCCTCGAACTGTATAATTTTCTGACGTTCACTTTGCAGCAGTGCTCGAAGCTCCGAAATCTCAGAGCTTTGTTCGTCAGACTGTTTCCGCTTCTGCCGCTCCTTTTCCAGTAAGGCTCGAAGCTCCGCAATTTCCATGCTTTGATTATCGGACTGTTCGTTTTTCAAACGTTCGTCTTCCAGCAATTTTCGAAGCTCCTCAATCTCCCTGCTTTGGTCATTGGACTGCTCCAGGGAAAATTATGAACCAGAAATTAGCAAAGCAAGTATTTACATTGGTTCATGAGAAGTTAGACAAGTACATATTGATGCCATGAACAACCACAGATGCACTATGTCACTGCGGGAAGTGTTCTGCGAGGATCAAAACAGAAATTGTACCTCTGAATCTCTTTGAATTTGAGGCGTGGCAGCCCGGAGCTCCTTCTCCACGCGTTCAAGCTGTGCAAGCTGCAATCGTTGGCTGCCCAGCTCTTCCTCCAAGCGTTCCCGGTGTGCCCTCTCAATGTTCCGACTTTCCAGCGCCTCTGCTAACTCATTTTTATGCTTTTCAACTTGCTTCATTAAATCCATATGTTGTTTTTCCATTTTCATAGTCATCTCCTTCTGCAGCTTTAGGTTCTCTTCATGCGTATATTTCTAAAACCATAATCAACAAAACGGTTCAGTATCTCTTTATTTACCAAAGCAGCCATACACTCAGCTATCTTTGATTAATCGAAGGACGCGCTTGGAGTGCTGTTTTGCCTCCCTAATATGGATACATATAGCAATGCTACAAGAGAACTTCAAATATCTTTTTACACAGTTGTGAGAACTACAATTGAGAAAGGCATTCACTAATACTTCCCACGAACAACAGACGGCAGAGCCTTTTCCATTTAACACATGCAGTCCAAATGGTGCTTTGCAGGAATGAGTCCAAACATACCATGAAACGAACAACCTATGTGATACGTCAGCAGCTATTCCTCGACAACAAACAGAAAAACGAAGGTTGCTCCAAGGTCAACGAAGCCCACTCACCTCTTGTTGCTCAGTCTGGCGTTCACGTGCTAGCACTTGGACTTCTTCCTGCAATACATCCCGAACACGAATAACTTCTTCCAGCTTATGCCGAAGCTCTTCCACCTCTTCGCATCCTCTTTCACACTTTTGCCGCAATTCCTCGACTTCTTGTTCATATATACTCTTCTCCGCCATCATAGACTGCACTCATCGAAGTAGTTTCAATTTATATCATCAAATATTGAACCATCTACTAACCATCCACTAATCAACATTCTGAATAAAAATCTACATATTATAAACATTGCCATTAAAGATGTCTCCACCTAAGTCTA